GGCGGGGGGGCAACGCTCCTGCCGCACCTGCCTGCACCGTGCCTGGCGCCGTCCCGTGCTCCATCCACTCCCTTTTTAATAGAAAAATCCCTTCCCAGGCAATAATAGTCAAGTTGGCAAATATTTACCGCCGGATAATTCCCGGCCCTCCCTCCTCTTCCCACCCCTCTCCAGAAACACTCGATGCCTTTTGCATTTATCACTACTGACCTACATTTTTTTTCTGGAGCCTTTTGTGAAGCCGCAGGCTCCCCCCACGCTGCCCGGGGCGTCCCCGCGGTCCCCGCCATGGGCAGGGGACCCCTCAGCCCGTCTGCCAGCCCCGCAGAGCCCATCCCTGCTGCTCAAGCACCCTCTCGACATCAACCGCATTTTTTTTTTCCCCGCTCTAGAGCTCAGCAAACTCCGTCGCGGGACTTTTTGTGCTTCCCAAAGCAAACAGAGGCGGGAAGGTCCGGCCGCCCGCTGCAAGGATGCTCTTGAGCAAAAGGGTTGTGCTGGGGGGGTGGCAGGGAAGGGGTTAAGCGGGTTATAAATTACCCATGGATGTGGAAATGTGACTGAGAGGAATATAAAGAAAACTCTGACTGCTGGATTCTTTGCATTTCTAGCCTCTTTATTTTTCCCCCAGGTCACTTTAAAAGGATGCAGGCAGTCAGAGGCAGCTCCGCTGCGCCTCTCCTCCCGCTTTTTCTGGGTTTTTGGGTTTTTTTGTTGTTTGTTTTTTACACCCTGGCCCTTAAGCCAGATGCTGTCTCTGTCCAAGGACTTTATGGAGCGAGCTCTGGCTGGGAAATCAAGTAATTAGATTAATTCAGAGTAGATGTGCTGGGTCCGGCCCCGGTGACACATGATGGAGGGCTGGCAGGAAAGCGATGGCTGGTGGGAAGCCGGACCAAGGATGCTCAGCCCGGGTTTGGGGACATCACCAGGGCCACCCCAGGGTCCTGGATCCGTCCGGGGGGAATCATATCCCGCCTGGGCAGGGCAGGGAGCTCGTGGCCGTACGGGCTCTGCCATTTGGGAGCTGGGCCCCACGGCCAGATCCTGCACCGCAACAGGGCAAAGAGGCCCTGGGAACAGAGCCACGCCGGGGGGGCAGCCGGACCGCGCCAGCCCCAGGGGACCACCGCGCTGACGCCGGCAGCCCGGTCCGGGGGTCAGAGGGGGCTGCCGGGCTGGATCCTGCCTCCCGGCCGCCTGCGGGAGCCCGGCCGGGGCCGGCGGGGGCGGGG